AATATATAACCGCTCCTCAAAGTATAAAAGATCTCCCTCCACCTTGAACTTGTCGTCATTGGCACGCTGCTTAATATCAATGGCTACTGAATCTTCAATGGTCACAGCATGTACTTGATTCAAGAAGTCAGCATCAATTGGCACAATAGTAGCGTAAAGTTGAAATTGCTTTAGCTTCAACAATGTCGTACATTGTTGATCAAACGCTACTTCTCCAGCCTTTGGTATAAGATACGATCTCCTCGATAAGGCATGAGATAGTCCTTGCTGCTTTCCAAGTCAATAAGTGATAACAAAATCGAACCTAGATAGCAACATACTCCATCGAGCTTGACCTCGATTTAGAACTCGAGTCGACATGAAATACTCCAAATTCTTGTGATCTGTGTATACGGACACTGGATGTGCAGCTCCCTCAAGAAAGTGACGCCATTTTTGAAAAGAATCCACTATAGCAAGAAGTTTCTTATCGTGGATGTCATAATTGATTTCAACAGCAGAGAACTTTTGAGAATAGAATGCAACCGGATGGAGCTTCTTGTCTTCTATCATTTGTGAAAGTACAGCTCCCAAAGCAAAATCTCAAGCATCAGTTTCTAAATAAAAGACCTTTGTAAAGTCTGGATGTACCAAGATTGGAGCTGTAGTAAATGCGGTCTTTAGGTCTTGAAACGCCTTCTCCGCTAGAGGTCTCCATTCCAGCTTATCCTTGCATGTCAACCGAGTGAGAGGAACATCAACTTGAGAGTAATTCTTGATAAAGATCCGATAGAAGTTGACAAAACCAAGAAAGCATTGTACGTCTCTAACTGTCTTCGGAACCTCTCAAGATACGATTGCTTCTACCTTCTTGGGGTCCATCTTCAAGCCTTCCGTAGTCGCAACGAATCCCAGAAACTCCATCTCTATTTGGTGAAATAAATACTTCTCCAACTTGGCATATAGTCCTCGCTCGCGTAGTTTCTCCAAGACCAAACGAACGTACTTTTCATGCTCTTCCTCGTTTTTGGAGAATATCAAAACATCATCCAAATAGATGACAACAAAATCGTCAAGGTACTCTCAAAAAATGTCATTCATCATATGTTGAAAGACTGTTGGAGCATTGGTAAGACCAAAGGGCATGACATTATACTCAAAATGGGCATACCTTGTATGGAACGTTGTCTTCCATTCATCTCCTTCCTTGATTCGTACGAGGTTGTAAGCTATCTTTAGATCAATTTTTGTAAGATCCTTGTACGTCCAAGTTGTTCTAAGAGACCAGAAATTAAGGATAACAGATAAAGATTCTTCTTTGTTACCTTGTTGAGGCCTCGATAGTCCACGTAGATTCGCAACGAGCCATCTTTCTTCTTCACAAATAAGATGGATGCTCCAGTTGACGATTTTGAATGACGGATGAAGTTCTTGGCTAGATTCTCATCGATGTACTTCCGTAATTCCGCCAACTCCGTCTTCGATAGATTGTAGATTGGGCCAAAAGGCGGTTGTACTCCTTCGTGCAAGTCTTTGGTACAATCATATGGTCGGTGTTCTGGTAGCATGTCTGCATTCTTCTTTTGAAACACGTCTTTAAAATCTTTATATTGCTCCGGTATACTTGCTGTCGAGATCTTCTCTTTAGTAGTTGGAGTCGTATAAATGACAAATGGTGTGCTTTCTTTGGAAAATCTTATAAACGCTCTTGCTTCAATGAATAAAGATTTCTCTATTCGGGGTTTTCTACTAGGCTTGCTCTTGGGTGGTTTTGTGGAAAAGGTCATCTTCCGCAACCTCCAATCTATGTATGGGTTATGCTTTTCCAACCAGGAAAGTCCAAGAATAATAGGATTTGATGGGGTTCTAATAATATTGAAAATAATATGACTACTGTGGCCCTTAAACGTCACTTCTATAGGTTTTGATTCATGGGTGACACTACCAGACAATAAAGGTCGCCTATCTATGACCTCAACGTGAACACATTTGGATTTTTGTACTAAAGGGATCTTATGACGCTTCACAAATTCTTCGTCTAAGAAATAAGCAGATGCTCTTGAATCTAATAATGCTAAGGTTCTCAGTTTTTGAGGGCCAATAAGCAAAGAGATTGTAAAGCAAAGGGCAGGTTGAGCGGAGAGAAAGGAATCTGGTTGTTGCGATATTTTACTGTCCAATCGCACGGTTCCTATTGTGGCTAGGCATCCTCGTTTTCCTGAACAAACGCACCTCTAGTCCTGACAATACGTCAATTTTGCTTCTTGGGGTAGTTTTCAACTTTGTGGCCTTCTTGACCGCAATACAAGCATAGATCTTCCTCCATACGCCGCTTTTTTTTTTTCTAGGGTAAGAGATTTGACACATACTGCATCAATTTACGTGTCTTCTACCTCCGAATGTGAATTCACGCTGCTTGCCGACATAGTTGGGGCGTGGCGAACCGTATGTTATCTTGAACGTTAGTCTTGGCAGTATTGGAATAGGTAATTATCGTACTTCACAGCTTGGCTAATAGCTTCGTTGAGCGTTTGTGGATTAGTAAGAGTTAACAACAAATCCTTCACATCATCTCTTAAATCCCAATAGAATTGACTCATCAACGCTTCTTCGTCCCAATTGATATTACATGCTAATTGCCTGAAGTCCGATGCATAGATTGATGTAGAGTACATCCCTTGTCGTAGTGACTGGATCTTTGTTGTAGCTCAATCGAACCTTGTCTTGTTCACCAATCGCTTCTGTAAACGCCTCCAAAAAGGTTTCAAAGTTGTTTAGTATGGATGATCGTTTCTCAAATAAAGGAGCAAACCATGATAGAGCTTGCCTTGTAAGTAAGGTTCCAACAAGCCCAATACGCGACTCCTCTTTTGAATAGCGTTCGGGCTGTAAAACTGTTATCAACCTGATTTGGTTGACGAATCCTCGAAACTTGGAACGCGTACCATCGAACTTGTCCGGAAGGCTAACTCTGGGCTCCTTATGTTGTAGAACCAGCGGGGCTTGTCGAACTTGAGGCAAAGTTGCTTCTCCAAGTGCACAAGTTTGAGGCTGGTGCAACCTAGATTGTGCCATCCCAGATGCTCCATCATTATGAAGCCTTGCCACGACTCCTTCAATCTCTGCAGTTCTTTGCGATAACGTAGCGAGGGCATTCATGATAGCATCCAACTTGGACTCCGAACTTTTTGTCATACTAATGCATTGGCCTCCAGCCATTCTAAGAGAAGGACAGAAATGACTCCATAAGAAGACAATATTGGTTTAGAGGAGGATACTCCGCAACCTCTAAAATGTCTTAAGAACTTCAAGAAAAGGGATAATCCACTCTTTCCAAGAAGAATAAGACTCCAATATTGTAACAAAAGAAATATCAATTTAGAAGAGGGTAATCCACAACCTCTAAAATGCTAGTACACTTCCAAGCAGAGGAGTAATCCGCACTCTAACGAGGAAGAAACTAACTCTGATATCTGAGGTGAGTGAAGTCTCGACAAACTGTCACGGACACAGAAATACAGACTCGAGATCTAACAAGAAGTTCAAGAAGAACTGGCAAGAACTAGATTAAACAGGTGAATACAAGAACAACACCAGAGAGGTGAGCTAGAGCTCCAAGAGATGTATTGTCGAGACTGAAGAACTCTTCAGCCTCGATTCCAATATATACTCCTATTTAGGAAGCTTCTCAAGCAACTTCTACTAACTAGAAAGCTTCTAGAAGGTTCCAGAGACTTGCTTCTAGAAGGTTCTAGAAATTTATCTTTAGAAGGTTCTAAGGATTATGTCCCTAACATCTTCTATCAACTAAGAAGCTTCTAGAAGGTTCTAGAAACTTGTCTCTAGAAGGTTCTAAGGACTATGTCCCTAACACCATGATACCTCTTTACAATCGTATTTCAAAAGGTTGTATAATTTTATATTGACTTTTTTATATTGACACTTTGAAAGGTTATATTTTTTAAAAGAAAAAGAGTTTAACTATTACTATTATTTTCAATTATATGACAATGGTATAAAAATCACTTTTTATAAAAATATTAAAGTATCTAATATCTAAAATTATTTTAAAGTAACTTATATGTAATTTTATAATAATTTATAATATTAAAAAGTATTTATATATAGATATAAAACAAGGTACTTTTAAATAACTTTTCTCAACCAACCATTCCAATTCCAATTCTATCAAATCAAGTTGGTGAGATGCACACTTCTATGCCATCCTCAATCTTAAAAATTTATTCTTCAATGATTAAAAAATTCTCTTTTGTTTTTCACTATGTGGTCTTCAACTCAAAGAATGTGCTCTATACTTAAATCTTTGTTTTTTACCATTTTATAACAAATTCACACTTCAACTAAAATGACTCACAATTCATGCTTTCACAAAAGACAAGTCTTTCTCTATTGGGCAAATTTACTAGTAGTTGTTGACTTTGGATTCTCCAATAAAAATCTCTCTCCTTCTTTCTATCTCTCTCTATATAAATAAGATCAGATAAGCTCAAAATGAACTAAAATAAGTTAGAAATTAAACTTTCCCCTAAAATTTTTCACTGCTTTCATTTCCAAATTAAAAGTAACATATTGTAACAAAGAAGATCTAAGTGAGAAGAAAACAATAAGAACGATGAGATCATGTCTCAAGAACAAAGTGCATTTTAACCAATGTGCATGCATGCAATCAATCATTAAAAGAAAACAAACAATCTAACAAACAAACAAAACAAATCAAAGAACCAAATAAATTATCAGATGATTATCCACACACCAAAATCCTAAAAGGAAACCACGAGGTCCTGCAGCCCAATTTGAAAACAGTCTGAAGAGAGAATTGGGATCCAATAAAATAAAAAAAATCTATAATCAAAGCCCCCCTTTAATCAATAGATTGCTTGATCAATAGATATCTAAATAACTAGATTTCTTAAACACAACAAAGCTATATAACCTCATCCTGAACCTCATCCGTGATTAGTCAGTCAGGGACGGATGAACGCAGCCATATGAACGAATGGCCAAGGATGAATACGCGGATGCAACATGGATGAACCGAAGATGATGATATCGCTAAGAATGGACGAACGTATAATGGATGATATGGGCGAGTCTTGTAGTTGGTGTGAGTGAGAGAGCGAGAGAGTGTGTGAGGGTGTGTGTTTGTGTGTGTGTTGGGTTGGGGAGAAGGACCCCACCTCGGCAGACGAGGAGGAAGATGAAGCCTCCATCGCAAAAGAGCATCATCATCGCATCATCGCATCAGATCGCAGCGCTGCTTTGCGAGAGACGGCGACCCAGCGGAGCGATCCGACCCTCACCTCCCTTATTGTCTTCTTCTTCTTCTTCATGTGAAGCCAGCTCCCTCTGCCTGCCTGCCTGCCTGCCTGCCTCACCCCAATTCGCAACAAAACAAACACCACCCTATGCCACACACACCCAATGCCATCCCTCCCTCGCTGCAGGTCAGACTGCTGGCGCATTCCATCCCCTCATCTCGCATGATATTCTGTCTGCACCGCGTCTTTCCAGGCGTTTTGTTCGCGGAGGCATTCCGTTTGTGGAACTCTGTCAGCGGATCTGGTTCTCTTGAGTGGAAGAAGAGGGAGAGGAGGTAGCTTTTTTCGCTGGTTGAGATTCTCGTGGTTCGTGAGAATTCGTGTGCCTCACTCTCTCTCTCTCTCTCTCTCTGTGTCTTGGGACGCGGGGTTGTAATGATGTCCGAGTGGTATCTTTGCACGTCTGGGTTCTTGATGGATGGTTGCATGCATGCATGGTTTTTGGGTGGGTGAGTGGGTTGTTTGGTGGGTCATGCCTGACTGTAGTTTGAGGTAGTAGAGACTTTCTTGAATGAATTTGAGTCCACTCAGTAGTTTTGCGACGTATTGTATGCCCTCGATCGTATTGAGAGCAAGAGATTGCTTGGATTTGAGTAACGAGCATGATCGGTCGTGGTTTTTCTGTTGTGGAGTATTCAGAGGAAGGATTGCGCTGGCACGCATTCCCTTCTCAGAGTGAGAATTGCCTGTTTAAGATCACTTCTAAGATCCAGGATTTCTTTCTTCTCCCCAATCTAAGTCCCTTTCTCAGAGTGAGAATTGCCTGTTTAAGATCACTTCTAAGATCCAGGATTTCTTTCTTCTCCCCAATCTAAGTCCCTTTCTCAGAGTGAGAATTGTCTGTTTAAGATCACTTCTAAGATTCAGGATTTCTTTCTTCTCCCCAATCGAAGTCCCTGCTGTGTAAGATTTAATCGACGAAACCCTAAAAGAGATTTTGTTCTCAGCATTACCGTTTCGATTTCTGATGAAACCATTGTCGTGTCTTTTTTTTTTTGCTGTCAGTCTTAGAGACTGGGAACTGGAGCTCAACCATGGCGTCAAACGTATGGCACAATTTGATGTCCCTGAGGTTTGCAGGGTTTATGTTATGCCTTGGGGCAGGGGCGGAGTGGTTCTTGCAAGTGAAGGAGGCTATGAAGGTGCTAACGAGGGTGTGTAATCCCATGAGGAAAAGTGAGAAGAGATCTCCACCCGTCACTCATAAGATCAAAATGGCCAGTATTCGCATGTCCATGGATGAGGTAGCGAAGACATACAAAATCACTCCGGTTCGTAGGCTGTAATTAACATGTATGCAGCCATTCTTGCACCTCATCTTCCTCAAGTGCCCGTGTATAGTAGTAGCTGCAGGACTGGACTAGCTTGCCAAAAGGGCTCTCTTTTCTGTACAACCCAAAGAGTTGGGCTTAATCAGTGATCCAGAGTGGGTGCTAACATTCACCAGATCTATATTTTCCCGTTTATATTGTGACCCAAAAACATTGCCGAGTCAGGGAAGGCTGTGAATTCTAACCTTCTGCATTCGCATGGGGTTTGGATCGATGACTCGATCTTGGTTTTTTGTGTCCTAAGCCCTGCAATGAATTGAACTTCTGCTTTAGCTCGTAGCAAATTCCAACCAGGGCATTCTCATGTGTGAATTCACTGCAGAGTAGTTGTAGCACATAAAACGTTAACTCTAGACTCGTACTGTTGGCTACCATGCTCCTTCATTTTTTTATTTATTATTTTGCAAGATTTTAGAGAGGTTTCAAGCCGAGTCTCCACCACTGAATGCAGCGAGATCATCAAAATGCTCAAGGCTCACCACATGAAGGGCCATTGCCATCTCTTGGTGTTCCTTCGATACACATCTTATCTGCAAGCTATTAACCTCTTGCTGGCATCACCCTTTCGAATTCTTTAACTGGTCCCACATTGCCTTGGTTCAAAATGACCTGCGAGAATTAATCTCCATGACTCTGTGCAGATGAAAAGCAGTTCAAAGCCACTGGGTTTTTATTTCTTGGAAGATAAGATCCCTATCTCGATTTGAGGCTCAGAAGCACAGAGAAGATTTAACTGATTGTAGGAGTGACTTAGCTTTATGTTCAATGCAAAGGCTATTCATCAATACATTAAAAAAATCAATTGTAGAAGATAACTGAACGGAAAGTTTGTGTATTCAATCTGATCTCATTACATTATCCAAAACAAAGCCACATTTATGAAACAATTTTAGAAAGTGTGATTTAGATACGTAGATATTTTATCACACATTCAGCAGTCTATAGAATCAACGATATAAAACGTGTAAGGAGGTCATGAAAATGGATAATTATCTATATAAATGAACACAATATGTGTGGGTGTGGAATAGTTGTTTAGTTGCATTAAACTAAGCAACATCAAAATATGTAGACTGCTAATTTGAAATAGTTCACGTGACATTCGAAAAATGAATCAAGTTTTTTTTAAAAAATTACCTTTCAAACTGCTAAAATCTTGTATACAACAGTTATGATTTCACATTCTCAAAATTAAACAAGAATAAAATCTTGAAAACATGCAAAAAAAATCATAAGAATATCAATAATTATTACAAATAAGATCTTACTTTTAATCTCTTCTTATTTCCTTTTTATTTAAATTCTAAAAATAAAAATTTATCGAATACATATATTTCAAGTTTCAACCTATTTCTATTTTATATATTGTAAAGGTTTTAGATTGAAAATTAGAATGAAAAACCAAATAATAAATATTACTTCAATTTTTTTTGTATCTAAATAGTGTTTATAAAATCAATTCCAACAAGAATATATCTCGTATCCGGCAGTCCAATATTCGGACATCGTAGGGC